GTTTACGAAGTCAGGAAGTTTATTTTGCGGGTATGACACAAACGCGTAAATCTTATCGAAATTAACTACAATTGGCTTAAGCGAGTTGTGCAAGTTTATAGAAGAGCGTACAGGTGGACATTTATTTGAGAAAGAAAAGCTTTAGGACAAAATTGGGAACCCACCACCTGAAATAAAGAGAATTAGCATGTAAGCGCGCGGTTAGTAAATCGAATGCAGCGTACCTACAAACGCTGCACCGGTTCTGCCTACGTTTTCTGCAGGACCCGTCGTCGCTTCGGTAGTGGTCCCGAGTGGCCTCGCTCATGGCTCACTAAGCCTGCCTGACTCAGTCACTCGCGACCGCATGTGTTACAGCACCATGCGCTTGATGTCGATGGAGAACAACCTATCGGTGCTTGCCACTTCCGCACTTGCCGCTTCTTATCTGCATGCATGAGGGTTTTCTCCTGCACCGCGGCAACTGACTTCGTGATCAGGAGGCGCCATGCATGCCGACCAACCGCCTTTGATTCCCATGATCTGCAATCAAGATTAGAACGCGTGAGCCTCACTTTGATCATGTCCTGGTAATGTAACTGTTTTCTCCACGTGCCTCTTCCCTATACTCAGCTGACCTTATAAGGGTTGTTTCGGTATCCGCGTTGAATCCATACGGCTCACATGACCGAGCCACCTCAGGTGTCTCAGCAACAGTATGCAGTCCAGTGCATACATCCCACTTTGTCGCAACACTTCCGTGTCTGCAACTCTGTCGCCCCAACTGATGCGTATATATATATATATATATATATATATATATATATATATATATATATATATATATATATATATATATATATATATGAAATTTTAAATTATTTCAATCCCTATTTCTGGGACTCAATGAAAGGCTTTATCGAAGCTTTAGTTTTCTGATTCAAGAATTTGCTGCTCCGGTACTCTAAATAAATATTTCGGATATCCGTACTGTTATCCAAAACACGGCTGTTTGTTTTTTCAATCTGCTCATCCAAGCTGATATATTCGCGGCGTCCATGATAGTTGAGCTCAGATGAACACTCGGGCTACCTATTGGATGGTACCTTGCTTTCTCTAAATCTATTCTACCTACTTACTGGGCATTAGTAAGCAGCATTCTAAGAGCGATCGTCACAGTTTCTTCGCAGAGTGGGTCTAGTTTCTACAACCACCATGGACCTGCAACTGGAACCGGTCGATGGCCGAAAGGACTACACACCTGCATTGTAATCCGGAAGTCACCGGTTCGAATGCGCTTAGTTGCATGCAATCTCCCGGTATACCCAGTCCTCACGTGACTTTTGGCGGTCGCGTGTCAGCGAGGCTTCGGTACGGTGTGCCGGCTTACTGCTGATGCCTCTCGCTAGCTTTCGCTTAGCCATAGTTCGCTTGTTCACAAAAGTGCGCAGTTAACTCATGTACCGTATGGCAGTGGGTGGTTCCTTTGCTCAGGGTTACAGTACAATGATATGAAGTTGTGTTGCATTTGGCAGTCATGAATACCACATTCTTTTTCACTCTAGAATTTCTGACACTGATGAGACCTTTATTACAGTAGAAGCCGATCTTAATGTGATCGACGAACAGAGATGGTTTCCTCTGAGCAAGGATGTGGAACATGTCGACAACACAGCAGAAAATTAGTGGACCCAGGACGCTATCCTGGATAGCACCACTAGTCACTGATCTGTACGCTTAGTCCATCTTGTTTAACCCTTTGAGTCCTGAATTAATTTACTTATTGCTCAACATGAGCCACAAAAATTTACTCCACACGCTGTAGTGTGGGTGTGGCCCCTACTTACATGTTGACAGGGGGCTATTGTACGTATCCTCGCGAGTACCGACCGGAATAACGCTTGCTCTGAAGCAGTTTTGCGATTTAAAGTAAGTAGTACTTATAATTACCGCCAGGACGCAAAGGGTTAATCGGACTCATTAAATGAGATTGATATGACATCCTTCGAACTAAAATAGCAGTTGAAGTCAAATACCGAAAGACATGAGTCTGATCAGTAAACCATGGCGAACTACTCGATCGAACGTCGAGGCAAACAATACTCGAAGTATACCCCTAATCTATCATTAGGGTTGCGTGATTCCAAACCCGAAGTGGCTTGTTTGATGGGATTAAACCCTAAAAACACATGTTGTAATTTTTTGGCAGGATTCCGTTTAACACAATGTCAAAACTTTCTCTCTATTACCTTCAAGGTAATCGCTGTGTGGTTGAAGGGGCGATAATTGTCATCATCTTGGTCATTGTAGCATGTGTCTTGTCACCCCTGTTACAAGGAACGTGTCGCTGTTCCTAGAGTGTAACTAAGACAGGGGCGTCCAGACTTTTCGCAAGGAGGGCCACATTTTGTGAAGTAAAAATATTTCAGGCCATATTCAGTTTGAAATTAATATAATCACATAGATTACACATGTACGAAAAAATCTAAGCCTGAATTTATTATTTTATGCTGGAGCCGCTGGCCTGACTTTGCACACCCCTGACCTAAGAGGATGTGTGCTATACACGATCACACAATCTAAGCAAGACGCCATCGAGACGTTCAGGGCCGGGATAGTGTGATATCTTGAACCATTATCTGAGCGATCGCGCATGTCTCAAAATCAGTGATATGCGGCGTACTTTGCTGGTTTAGACAGTTTATTTGGGACCGAGCCTACAACATTGGTAAAGGACCCACAGAACTGACTAACCATCATTATTATCCATATTCCACGCTAGCTAAAGGAGAGAAATACCTCAGCTATTGTGCAGCTATAATAATAAAAATTCGGTGTTAATTCATCACGGTCCACTCAGTCAGCAGTCTTTGGCAAGTCTGGAAAGGTACCAGAAATCGCTGTTCGACCTTCTGAGCCTCGTTTGTGATGTGCTTCCCATCGGACTCCTGTCGGTTTCCGTGATCCTAAACATTGACGAATGCAAAATAAAAGCCCAACACCCGGTTATATACTGCTTTGTCTCATATTGTGCATCGAGTGTGAGATCGTGGTTAGAGGGTTAAGCTAAGTGGACAAGGGGGGACAAGTAATCCCAAAATGTAAACTCTTTTGAGCTCGACTCTTCGTCATGTCAACTAGTGTATCCAACCAAACATCTTCCTCGTCCTTCCGACCTCAGTCTGGCCATCGGGAGGCACCAATCGACGCCAGCTTCGAAGTGAGGGACTTCTTGACTAAGTCGTCACTTTTTATCCTCTCTTATTCCATCGACACTCTGTTGGCGCAAATAACGCACGTCGAGGGCGTCGGTATGCAGACATTTGCAGCTCGTGACCTAGCCATCGGAGCCTGGCGCATGATATAACGGTGCTGAGTGGTTCACTTGCTCTTCCTGCACCATCTACGAGACGCCGAAGACGCTCATTGCTTATGCGGCGTCCCTCTCAGACATGTGCTAACATGCGAAGGCAGCGATAGTACAACGTAACCAGCCTCTGAGTCATGTTTCGTAGACGTATAGGAGGGTTGAACAGTCGGATGCATTGCAAACTCTGTCTTTCATGAGGAGAGTGAGTTCGCGCTGGTTTCGCAGGTGGCGAAGATAGGCACTAGTGCCTCGTTCTTTTCTATTCGATTCCTGATCTCGTCTTCCTTTCCACAGGCGCTTATATTGCTGTTTCTTATCAAGGTTCAGTGCAGGATTTGGCGCCTGCCAATATTGGGAATGGACTTTGCATTCGGAGGGTACAAAACAGTCCGGAAATATCGACAGACAGTGCTGCTTGTCACCTTTTGGGGCTGTCACAGATTAGGTCAATGTCGTCAGCGTACTCCAAGTCAAGAGGTCGATCACCTGAGAGCAGCTTTACACCTTGTAGGTTGTTCCCAATTAACGCAGTTTACGTGACGGGATGATGAGGATGACGGAGTGAAAACGGGAAAATTAGCATACGGTAAGGCCTGAGCAGTAGCATCCTCACTCCTATCTACCCTGCTCCATACAGCAAATAGGACGCCGTTGATTATCTTCTGCGACAGCCATAGCATCACGAAATTGTTCGGGAAGAAATTTATTGTATTGTCTTTGCAAAATACTGTTAGTTTACCCAAGCCTATACAGGAGAACGGTTAGATTTCTCAACCAAAGCCTTTGTTACAAAAACCTGATCGCTAGACAGCGGGGTATTGGCACTGGAATACAAAGAGTTCGTTTTATAGAGTAAGAAACCAACCCACAACCCAGAAAGCCAGGAGACTGAGTTTGTCTGGCCTCTACCCATTGACAAATCTGGTATGAGTGGCTCTGAAGATGCAAAAGCACCAGCAAGCATAGCTCAGTGGATCACTGAGGCACACAAACTACCGAACCACGTTAAGGTCCAGTTTCGTCGCAGTGCAGTGAATACACACTCACATATAATCTTATTGGGTTCTATTCGTGAGTACTAGGAGAGTAATATGGTTTGGTTTATTCTTATCTATGCGCCCCGTTACTTGAGGTAAGGCTTGGGACTTGTTGTTGGAGCTAAGCACTTTTCTTCTCGTAAACCCTAAGTGGAGTTCTGATCGCATAAATTAGCTAGGACTTCATTCGTGCATGCTGTACTATAAAACTCTCGAGCCATCTGCATTTGTAGCACAACGTCCCAGATTAAACTCTCCCATGACCAGAGTTAACAGTCCACAGTTCTATCGCAGCTCGGTGTCTGCCCCATATTTCCGCTTCTTTAGGGTTTTCTTGTGAGCTTTACCACATAAATTCCTTGATCATTGCACGGATATTACTTTGCTGCTGGCTTCCCAACATGTTTTGTTTTGGGTTTATTTAACGGTACTTATTTTGCATTGATCCATTTTTGGGTGACTTCACAGATCCCGATAGGTGAGTGTATTTCTGGCCAGTCTCCGTTCACTTCCGGCTTCCGAATACTAACTGTTCAGAACTTTATGCTTCACTGTAGTTGTTTTGCCATTCATTTTGATTTTTACCCTCTCCTTATTTTTTCATTGCTCTTCAGGTCCATTTCTTATGCAAATATCCATTAACTCACACCTCTTTGCTCAGCTCACCCGAGATTTCCATGGAAATGTCCTCTTCGCTACTTTGGCGCTTCGTTCCACTCCCCACTAGCCACCTACAACTTAACACCAGGTCCCTGATTGAAACCCAGCTGTCAAACAGGTTGTCCAGTATACTCCCCCTTGAAAAAGCAGGGCGTGCAGAAGATGACATGGCCGTACAACTTGCCACCGAGACGGTATGCACCTTACGTTGAAGCGTGTTTTTGTTTCTCTACACATCCGTTACCTTTGAGCAGCCATCTGTCTGCTTCTTTGTCGTACATTAGTTCATCTTTCTGTGCCGTTGTCTGTCCCATGTTTTCAGGCTCTCGCTCTGCGATTAGTGGACTGTCAGTCCTCTAACTGGTTGGCAACCAATGCTTCGACGGTGTCCGCAGTCGCTCGTCACTCCTTGACATGCTTCACTGTAGTTTCGAGTGCTCCTGTTCACCCTCGGCTGATACCTTGCTCCCACAGTCTGTTGGATGCGGTGCGCCGCCCGTTGTGTGCCTTCTCGCATCATTTAGCCATGTGGATCATCCAGCTTACTCCCAGCCTTCAACTTGTGGATCCACTATTACAGGTAACTAGACCAGTTTATTTGTCACATTTACCAAGGCACTTGCGCTGTTTTCCCCATTTTGATTGCAGAGGCTAACACGCTATTACTATCGTCTCCTCAGTGCTTAATAAAATCAGAACGAACTAATGCACCTCACCTTTCGATTGGTCTTCTACCGCGGTTACTATTTATAACCTTTGTTTGACTTTGCTCCCCCAGTGGCTGGCTACAGGGACACTAACGGTCTGCAGAGGGAATAGATCGATGTCACCCCTATCGTCTTTTGTTGCTCTTCAAGCCTGGCACTCATGGGTTTCCGACCTCAGGGCACCTATTCAGAGTTCGAATGCTTGGGTGAGTTCCCAGTTTATTTTATTTCATTAACGCCACTGAAGTCATTAACAGTCTTGCGTATCATCATCTGTCGCCTCCGTCCATATCGTCTTTCACTCGTCACATGATCTTGGACGCCCCGTTTGTCAGTGAAACTCGTTTGTTCCGTTGTCTGTGAGCACCGGTCTCCATGGCCGTAACTTCTCAAAATGTCTTTTGACATTTACTTGTTTTCATTCTTCACGTTTGTTACCGAATCTTGGCTTCGGGATCATTCTTTACCCATGATTATCGGTTTCATTTCATTGATCATTGCATCTGGATGTGTTCACTGCCGTGTTCTAACATCTTACTGGCTTTGTTGTTCCTAACCTATTTTATTCAATATACCGGCCATCCGATGGGATCTGAAACAATGGTAGTCGAACGTCACGCTAAGTAACATGACCGAATCTACCGCAACAACGGCAGGCACTTAAAATTCGTGGATAGGAGAAGTATGCTTATTTGTTTCCCGCCGTTCACTAGCCTTATTGTCAATGCCTCGAATAATTAGGGCATGCGCACGAAAGATTTCTGTTAGGCTATCGCATTTTTCGCTCTGTTGGCCAGTTATCGCATTACCTGGTATCCTTTCACATATTGCTTCTAGATGAACGTGTTCACGGCTTAGACACACTATAGCCCCAACAGATGGTGTCCAGCGAATTGCGTTCCACTAATCTTGTTCAATAAAACACGAATACCCCGAGCCTATTGGAAACCGGCAGATGATAAGATTGTGAAGCAAGTGATTTGCTTGGCTTCCGTCCTTGTGTCATCGCCAGCGTCACTTCTATTTTCGTTTGTTCGAAAACCGGACCTTGTGCTGCAGACACTTCACCATCATCCGATCGCACACTGAATATTCTCATGTTCTTGTGAGATCAACACACGCTAACTCGTGAGCAATTTGAACTTAAGTCGTTGATCAGTATGTTTTCTACTAGCGTTATCCATACATTTTCTAGCCGTCACAAAAAGCAAGTTTTATACTCAGTAATCTGTAGTGTATACCGTCACTTGGTCAAGGACGGGGCTTCTGGGACTCTGGAATCCGACTTATTGCAGTTTGGTACAATGACGGTAAGCTGCCGAACGCTCTTTTATTATCTTTGTTTATCGCTAATCGACGCTGCAGATTCCTTAGTTCTATTAAGACCAGAGTTAAGGGCAACTCTGATGCCACATTTGGAAAAGCTTCAGCGGTGTACAACCGTCACACGCGAAATCTGTGCTATGGAGAAATGGCTACTTTCGGTGGTGATTCAGATAGATAAGTGCAACCGTCTGGATTTAACTGAACTAAGATCAGCCGGAACCAACTCCTACTGAACAGATACTGTGAAACTAAAAACCGGTTGGTTCGTATCGTATTCGCTTATTATAGCATTGAGAACCTTCCCGTAGTTCAAGCACCTAAGGCCCTGATTAAGTCGTTTTTTTATCAACCTTCTTTGGTACTTCTCTGTATTTGTTTATATTCTAGTACATTTCTGAGATCAAATGTGTTGTAGCTGATTATTCATCCGCCAAAGGTGTACAAAGCAGTTTTTAACTTGATTTGAACTACTTCATCTAGCCTTCGCATTAGTACAGTTCCACGGTATTATGACACCCACAAAAGGCCTAACCTCATTCGACAAGCAGTCTGCGAACCGATTGTTTTATAATCAGCTCACCATAGCCCAGCGGACCGAGTTCAAAGACCTATTGATTAAACCAGATCGCATGCTTTTACATAGGTCCATTCATGATCTTTCGTCAACATCACCGGCTCAAACGGCTATTTAGGTCAAGTGTTCTCAAGTCAAGTCAAAGTATGCTTCCTGAACCCTAATGTGTTCATTTTCAGAATTTACACCACCACTGCGGACATTTGGATGATAATTTCAAAATACATGCTTGGGTAGAAAAGTGGGAAAAAAGCAAAACTGTTACTTCAACAAGCGCTCGTGCAGCATGCTAGTGACTTTCGCTGTGTCAACAAGCCAACGTGAGAGATAAGGCAAAACAGTAATACGTTACTATGACTTGCGGGCGAATAAAATTCTGAATTTCGAACGAGTAGCAGAGAAAGAGAGCGTTTTGAAAAGATCGTTGTGAAGTGGATGAAATCGCTCAGTTAATATCTTAGAAGGAAAATCATTGCAGGCATCATGATGTCTAGAAATCGTCAAATCAACTAAACTATCTCTCGACAACCCGCTGCATCTAATAATGTGCTTTATAGATTGCACCAATATGATGGTTTTTCTGAAGCAGTCCATGGAAAATGACAGGAGAACAGTATAGCCAATGGGGAATATTACAAGAGGTGAAAAACCTGAATATTAAAGTACGCGGTATTAAAAGCACCTTAAATCTAAGGGCATAAAAAGAGACTTTTCTGACTTTTTGAAAAGTTTTACAGACGTGCTTGGACCAAGAAAGGTTCTGGGACAAACAAACGCCGAAATACTTGACGGTCGAAGAGCTGGGTATGGTATTTTCATTCACAGTATGTGTGGCAGGAAAGCCATGAGGGACTGCAATTTATCGCCACGTAGAAAAGAAAATATTACATCCCTACATTTAGAAGCATTAAGCGGAAGAGATAACTTATTTAATGTGGTAACTGAGCACTTAGAAATTGATCTCGACCTCGAGCACCACCATTCCTGACGATACTGCAATGTCACCTAAGCAAACTCCTACCAACTACTACTCTCCCAATCTTGATAGCTGTGAGCCAATCGAGTTGAATTTATCGTTTCTAACTGATGGAGTATGTTCCAAACTTTGGGAAGAGCTGATTATCAAGAGCCCTATAGCAGTGTCGCAAACCGAACTCAACGCTCAAAGGACTCCCATGGGCAGTCAATTCAATATTGCAAAAAACCCCAAGCTTCTCATCAGTTCCAACATTATCTACAAATCTTTGAAGAACACGGTTGAAACTTTAAGTTCTACCAGCATTCGTCACCCAGACGCTATATAAATCGACCTCCTGACCCGACAAATACCAGAAACAAATGTCTGTTTGATACCCCACGCCATAAAATCTGGTACACTAATGGTGACAGAATGAACTATGTCACAAGGACAAGGCCATCTCTCATCCCATCCCATGTGTGCAGCCCCTCCCGACACCTATCAATATGACCCTTTTTTATTACAGGTGGGAACAAAGGCGCAGTCATTCCCACCCCTTACATACCCTGCAGAAGCCAACTACCTGTTCCCAATGTTTCTTCATCTTTTTGTAAATGTCTCTTCTAGCCAACTGTCACGTCAACCGCAAATTAGACTTGCTGCCCCAACCGCATCCCTGTCCACAGCAATATTGGTGTTCACAAATGACACATTACTCATATCACCACGCCAGCTAAGAATAGGCTCGGCCCCACTACCCTCACTCATGTCTCCTGCGTCCATAGTATTTGACTACAACAACGCAACACGATGACCTCACACCCAATAGTCCGTTTTCTGTACTTCTACTTAGTGCCAAATCTGTTAACAACAAATTATGCTTCCTAAGCATGCTTGCACATATCAACAACCCACAAGCAATCCTCTCTACCGAAACCTAGTGCTCCTCCGATACATCGGATTATACCTTAATTATTCCTAATTACCATCATTTCCGGATAAAGATCGCGAAACAGTCAAAGTAGGTGGATGCATTCTATAACTGCATCATACATTTGCTGCAGAACTTCTTGATCATCCACAGCCATCAAATATCCCCAAATCTGTTCGATTCTCCGTCTCAGGAACCGGTTATCACACTCTACTTGGACGTGTCTACAACCTGCCAACTGCTTCAACCGCGAATGTTACCATCATCACTTCACCTTTCGAATTTGCTGCTGAGATGCCACACAGGCAGAAGATAATTGCTGATGATTTTAACCTACCAAAGATTTTCTGGTCCTCCAAACTATCCTCGTTGGCACATACAGCTATCGTTTCTTCTTTTAGAATTGGTGGGTGATTAAAATGGGTTACTGAACCAACCAGGACAACAAGTATACCCGATGTGACATTCACTTTGTGGGTCACAAATGCACGGCGAGGTATTAAACAAACTCCCTGGTAGCGACCACAAGATGGTACGATTCACTTTCTGCGTTAGATTAGCCACCAAACACGCCTTTGATCCTCAGTATGCAACCCATAGGATAAACCGTAAGTAATTCCAACAATTTATCCGATTGGGACGCATTCCTTCTCTCTAACAATGTGTGCACTGCCGTCGACTATTTCTACCATCGGGTCCATCAAGCCAGTGTTGTCCTTACTCCCCAAGGCAAAGGGATCACTCGTGTCCAAAAAGGTAATCGTGCGTTCAGTCAGCCGGAAACACAGGAGACTAACTGCTCGATGCAGAAAAACGGGAAATTTCACCATGATCTTACAGTTGCACAACATCATTGACAGGGTCAAGCACATACAGTTGTCGAAGAGGATACATGAAGAACAGATAGCTTTACGAATGACATGTAAAACGAAAGAAGGCAAGTCGACAGAAGTCATTTAGTTAAGTTAGGTTCTTCGCAGTCAGTTTCCAAATCACATAGTCGTCCACATGCCCGGAAAAGCACTAGACTGCAGTTTCAGCCTGTTGGGCATCATCAGTAGTGCGCATCCATCGGATCCATGAGGATTCGAACCCATGACCACCAACGGATTGAACCGCCAGTCAGCAGCTTATGCCACTGGGCCACGGGGGACAGCTTCAGACCGTCGTGATTTACAAGCTAACTGCGATATAGCGCGTCTTATCCTCCACTGCCATGCAAGTTACGAACGTTGCAGAGGACAGGGTTGGCCCCGAAAGACACGACGTCCGTTAACAGAAGTCATTTACCAAACGTTTGTTAGGCAAAGCTTCCAGTAAAAACTATCGGGAGCGCTGCCAGCAATTCCAGCTCGATCCGCTTTAGCTACGAAGATTGAGGCATAACCTGTTGATTCTGTACAACATGAATCATCAA